TAGGGCAATGAAGAATCTTGAAGGTGAGGGTCCCAGACAGTTGGGCAGGCGGCGCTGGTGTCTTAGGAGCTACTTCTAGGGGGTCTCTCTGGCCACATTCACCCTATTCAGGGCAGTTGTGTCAATGCATAACCTGGTCGACGATTAGAGGTAGCTCTTCAGCCTCATCTTGAGGTGAGTACCACTCTGCCTCAGGTGGCGGAACTGCAGCGCCCCTTACCGGCCGGGTCAAAACCAGTTTCAAACATTATCTGTCTGTCATGAAAGACTCTCTGCCTTTCTGCCTTAAATGTCTACAATGTCTACAGGACCTAAACTCAGATACCAATTTGTCACTGGAGGTATTGAAATACGAGATGCAACTAGCAATAGAAGATAAATGTATGAGAAAACTATGGAAACTACATAAAATTATGGAAATACCATAAAATTTTGAGGGATTTTCAAACTATTAGACAACATTTCCAAAACAAATGTAAAATCGAATACATGTACATAGGTTCATTTTGTTAGTGAAAATTAAGTCGTTCACAGCACTCGTGCGAGAAGAAATAGAGTCACGATCGATATTTTTCAACATTGTTTAATAAATGTTCAAATTCGATGATTTCAGCACGTATGATCGGCAACCAACACCGAAAATGGTTTTGTTCCCGGTCAGTTTTATTTGATCGACGTCAAGGTACCATATGCGGCTTTTCACTTGCGTTCTATGCCAGTTCCGAAAACTATTTTCTCTTTCCAATATCTCAATATTCCCTTAGAAATAGTACTGGGACTTGAGTTTCGAAGAAAAAAAACCTATAGCACTGTACGTATAGGCTTAAAACCGAAACCCTAAGAGGAACAATCGAAGCATGTGCGTGAGAAAATTGAGTCACGGTCGATATTGTTTGACATTATTGTGAGGAATGCCCACATTCGACAATTTCGACACATATGAATGTCAACCAACACCCAAAAATGGTTTCACTTCTAGAAAATTTTGGTTTGAACTAAGACGGGTACCATCGGCGACTTTTTCCAATATCTCAATAATTCCTTAGGAAACAGTATTAAGACTTGAATTTTTGAAGGAAAAAAAAATGCCTACAACACTATATGTAGAAGCTTAAAACCTAAACTTAGAAAATTGAGAGGAAACAGAAAAGAGTCATTGCCGAGTTTCATCGGACCACCGTCGAAATCCACCTTCAGACGAGACCTGTACAAGGATTGATAGGCTAGCGAGGCCGACACTCCGTCAAGATCCAAGAATGTTTTGCAAGGTAAAGTTCTAAACAACATTTTTTAAATCTGAGCTTTTCCTATGTGAATCAAGTCCTAAAATGTTGATATATTTACCTAGGAACAATTCTACGCACGATCTGTGAAGAAGTTTTGAAAATCGAAAATATGATTGTGTTAAGGATTACAGGGGAGAGAGAAGAAGAAAAAAAATTCACCAGCCACATGTTGGCCGGCGAGCGGTGGAGGGCGGCTCGGCACCGGACACACGTCGATCATCGGCGGGAGCAACGCAGCTCCAGTGAAACGACGACACGTGTTGCCTGCAAACTCCGAGCCGAATCGCAAACCCGAGCCAAGTCAAGCTGAATTGGACCGCCCGACCCGTGACTGCGCAGAAGCAGCAGCGTGCAGCCTGCAACTGGCCCTTCCTCGCGCATGGTCGGCGCACAGCCGGCGAGTGAGATGCCTGTTTTGGCCCGTTTGCCCTCTGTTTGCCTGACTTTTGTCTCGATCCCAGTTCTAATACTGTTTTTATGTGAATAGGGACCTTATTGAAGAAAATCAGTATTTTTGGACACCTCACAGGCATAGAAATGCCAACAAAAGGGCACGCGTCAACCAGGTAGGAACTACCTAGTGTTTAGGAAGAAATACTTGTAGGATTCGCTTGTACTGCATGCATGCTAGTTATTCACCTTAGGTGGTAGCCTCCTAGACTGATTGTTATGAGCTGATGATGTGTAATATTATGTGAAGTTTTGGGTGAATTATTTGAGCGTGCAATCATACTTTAAATTTCCGCTGTACGTATGCATGTGTTTAATTCATGTTGGAATTGTGTATTCTGTGTTCCGGGTGCTTAACATTGAGCGCAAACTTTGCGTTCTGGGTGCTTGATGGAGGCCATCGCCCCTTTGAGCCTACGTGCATGCACACTCTCTTATTTTCTATGGCCCATTACTATGATAAGCTTAGGGATTTGCAGTTAGGAGCGACAAGTTACTCTAGCTAGACCTAACCTTCCCCTAGGAACTTAGTAGATTACCACGACGACAAGGTACCTCAGGAGTGTTCATAGATTGCTAGTGTGTGAACGGTATCTATAACTTCGTGGGAGGATCAGGGGTCCTGACCAGTTCTTACTGCTCCTAGCCATTTCGCATGGGAAATGCGTCCCCACTTTGTACAGCCCATTAGCTGCATGGGAACGGGTTGGGTCGTGCCCCCCCCCCTCCCCCCATAGGGGGACTATATGGGCTTAGGAGGTACTCAACACACTCCTAGGCTAGATACCATGTAGTCTCAGATAGCCATGCAAAGGTAGCACCTCATAGAGCGATATCGACCATATCAGTTTGGCTTAAGAAACCTTTAGGTATCCAATGAAAGGACAATGGACCGGTAAAGCCCAAGGGGCAAGCCCCAAGAGACTAAGATTAGAACTAGATGTCCTAGAACCGAATTAGGAGACTATGGGAACCTGTTGAGTTAGGATGTGATGAGAGCCTACAGGTAGGTGACTTACTGAGTATAATTTTTATACTTATCCTTGTTATGTTTTCCTTTTTCAGGAGCCCGAGGTGTTGGTCAAGGGCGGGCATGATGGAGACGGAGATTGTCACAAAGGAATGGGTTGTCCCGAGGCGTCAGTCAGTCTTTATTTTGTATTTGCATTCTTTCCTAATTTGTTTCCAAACTGTTAATTGTTTTTGTTTGTCGTTTGAAACGTTATTGAAAGTAAATGATTTTTCTATATTGCATATCTAAATTATTTTGTGCATTCATGTCGTTGTTAGTCACAGTCCGTAGTAAAATATTCGGCGTGACAAGAAATGCTATTCGAGCCGTTTGAAGCACGCATGTGAGAAACTGAGTCACGATCGATATTTTTCCACATTGTTATGCGGAATGCTCAAATTTAATGATTTCGACAATATGATTGGCAACCAACATCCATAAACATTTTCACTTCTAAACAATTTTTGTTAACCCATGTCGGGGTACCATCGGCAGCTTTTCTAGGTTAATTTCGAAAAGTTATTTTCTCTTTCCAACATCTAAATATTCTGTTAGGAAAAAGTAATGGGACTAGAATTGATAGAGCCTACGGCATTATATGTACAAGTTTAAAATTGTCATCCTAATTTGGAAACCCTAAGGGCCGTTCAAAGCACTCATGCGAAAAAACGTCACGGCCAATATTGTTTAGCATTATTGTGAAGAATTCTAAAATTGATGATTTCGACACATATGATTGACAACCTACACCAAAAAAAAGTTTTGCTCCGGCCAATTTTTGTTCAACTGTCAGCAGGGTACCATCCACGGCTTTTCACCGTGTTTCAAAGAAACGGGATTGAGACTTGAATTTCAAAGAAAAAGAGCCTACTTTAGAATGGTCTTCTACAAACCGCCTAGCTATTCAACACGTTCCTTCATGTGTGCGATAGAGCTATCGGGGCTACCAATATGTTCTGAGCTACTTGTTCGGGCAACTCTTTCTTCTAGGGAGTCAACTCTAAACATTAGTAACCCATCTAGGTGGCAGTCGATTGTGTCTATGCCCTCGACTTTTCCATTCAATTCTGTCACTCGTCCTTCCAAGAAGCGAACAGTGTCAAGGACTTCTTTTAGGAACAACATTTCTTCTTCTATCAGGATAAGTCGGTTGACTTGTGATTTAGGTGTCAATTTTGTCATCGACTTTGTTTCAGTCTCAATGCATTAAGGAGCTAACAAAGCTCTCATACCATTTGTCACAATTGCACTTTTCTTGGTAGCGGACTAGTGTTCTAACCCAGCGAACAAGCTAGTCATGTCAAAATTGAATTTCGCAGATAATTCAGGTGTATGGTCGAGCCTCGAGCTACATTTTGGGAGAGAATTTTAGAAAACGTGGGCAAGGAAATCATTGAAAACATGTTGGAAGTAAGCATTGTGAAAGTCAATTTGCATAAAAAAACATGTAAGCAAGAGAGATTATAATACTTGGTCGGAGAAGGTTTGATGACTACTTGGTCCTCTATAATATATGTTAAGGCAATTTAGGTCTAGACATGATTTGCCAAATAGTCTTGCAGGAGAAATAAACTTAAGAAAGTAATACAACATGAAAGCAAGTAAATGGGTTTGGCATGTCATGAACAACATGTCTTGGACGAGCTTGACCACACAACTTGACATGGCTTTCCTCTATGTCAATGCTTCGCCGAGGAACGACCAACAATGAAAGACATCACGGCCATGCTCAAGGAGATCAAGCATGAGAGTCAAATCCAAAAGCAACAATTCACTATTCCAGTTTTTCTAGATCATCCGAGCCTCTAGTTAGAGCTGTACCTTCAGCAGAACCATAGATTTAAAAACAAATCTGAAGAACAATTCAGTTCACCGATTATTTCCTTGTTAAGTATGACATTTATTTGAATAGGTTGGAAGTATGTAGCAGCAATAATGACAAGGCTGAATCTGTACTTCTGCTTGAAGATCTCTCTCTCGTTTTTCACACTGAGTACGTCCAGCTTGTTACATTCTGATGCAGATTGCAATGCTGTATTTCCCATTGCATAAATGAACTAAAGGGAATCAAACCTGCAGTTACTTTACCAAGAAACCTTCATGAAACATAAGTTTGGTAGCAGCTGGTGAAACCAATACAGGGAGGGGACCATGAAAAGAAATTTTTGCCTTCATAACCTACTGAGTTGTCTGGGGGCAGCTCAACCAACAAATACACATCATAGCAAGACAAACTATTGGCATTAGACAAATAAAGATCAAGCTGTAAAGATGAGTTTTGCAATGAAAGTCCTATACTTGCTTTCAGCACAAAATGGTTTGTTCCCCGTTATGAAGCAATAAAAGCAGCAAGACCAAAATTTACTTGCATATTTCATACATTTTATAAAATGTGGATGATACACTCGGTTAAATTCGTATTGAACTTGGATCAGAAAAAAGAAAACGATATCCTTTTTTTTTCTCTTCATTTGACGGCCCTGGCAATATAAAAGGAAACATCTCTATAAAAATGAAAAGAAAAAAAAAAGAAAACATTACAGGAATAGGATGGATCAAATGATTCAAGAAATCACATTGCTTTTTGGTTCGGCTTTAACAATCTGTGTTGCATTGAATGCCTTTGCTCGGAGATTTGATCTTCGGGAAGCAGAAAATGAGATTAGTAATCATTGCTTCTTCTACGGATGCCATTTTATACTACATCCAACACTGAAGGAAAGTTTTAAGGTAAGAATTAGTCATACTATATGCAATTTAGTGATTCCATGAAACATATGCAGAGAGTTGATGGAATATCAGAAAAAAGACCTGGGTTTCTGCACTGAAGATACTGGTTGGCCACTGAGAACACAATCTAATGCCAAACTTAAATCCCTACTTAAATTATAGTAACAATTTAGTTATTAACTTCAAACAACTGCAATTTGAATGTACAGATCAGAAAATGAAAATTAAACCCAGGACACTGACCTCCCAGTGACAGGCTTGCTATTTGATGGTCGAGAATCATCAAATTGACCGTGATAAACCAACTCAAATGGCCTTCGCCCAACCTGTTGCATACTTGAGCACTGTACTCAATAAATCTTGGTTTCTTAAAGCAAGATTGAAAATCAAGTATGCTAGTTAAAATTACATTAAAAATGAACAATGAAGTTTAACAGAGAACCTTTTTGAATAGAAAGAACTCTGGTGTGCAAACTGCCCCAAAATCCCTTGCAACTTCCTGTGACTGCAATTGGACGTACAATTAGCTTTCAAATTGATATCAATGCTTCAATAGAAAAGATGATAAGAATTCTTTGATACACAGCTTGTAAGATCAAAATGACTAAGCATTACTATTACAAGAAACATTAGAGTTCCAATTGCTTTCCAACGTAAGGGGCATCATCATCTACAAGTCTTCAGGCCCTCACAATTCTCACAGCTATACATGTAATTTTATTGTTTCGAAAAAAAAGTGCAAATAGATAAAAGTTCTAGCAATGATATTCAGAACAGTAATTGCTCAACAATGTAAGGTGCAAGGTGTCACGGTCATACTAGTCCAAGGCACGTTGCATGTAACTGCATGTTGGATGTCCCAGTCATATTTTTCTAGGACGTGTTGTCCATCACTGCATGCCCGTAACATACCCCTTTTACTTCCTTTCATGTTAGATAGACCTTTACTATTCTTGTTGTGTCTATACGGGAGTGTATGACCAGTCATCAAAATCATGTCTACACCTTTTAGGGCTAAAATGCTTCAAAATGTACTATAGGGGGATGTGACTAGTTGTCAATTCTTCCTACCTAGGTTATATGCTATCAAAGCCGTTGTTGCTCATTTCTAAAACATTTCTCTCAAACATGACTCAAGGTTCGAGCATACACCAACATTGTCCGTAAGTCAAGAACAAATGTCGCATAATCGTTATCTCGTTGCCGCAAGAGTGCAATTGTGACACAAATCAGTACATTCGATTTTAGATTCTGTTAGGATGTGTATGCCGTGCTCACAAGCATGTGCCTAAATTGCTACAATATCATTACATGAAAAGACATAACGAGATAAAACAAGCCTAAATCATCATGATCATAGCATGCACTGTATCTAAAGTCATAAACAACAAAATCACATTATTTTACACAAGTAATGGCTAAATAAAAACAATAGCATAAGGTTTAAAGAAACATACATCATCATATAAATATGGAAAGGGGTATTTGAATGCTTTTGCTTCTTCTGCCATAAACTCTGGTCCATCCTGTCATGAAATTTGCACGGCCTGACAATTAACCAATCCGTCAAAGCAACTTGTAATTCCAATTACGAAGTTAACCGAACCTGTGGATGCGTAGCAACAGAGTTTGAAGATATGGCTACAACAGCCAGTCCTTTCTGAAAGATCACAGTATGACATAATGAATCACAATGGTTGGACTTCAAAGTTCTTGTTGAAACAACACACGGATCTCAAAAGCAAGCAATGAGAAAAAGGAAAAAGAACCATATCCTTTGTACCTTCATATAGAAATTCGAAAGTTTCACAATATCCTTTTTCAAGTGTATAACAAATGGGCAATGATTACAAATAAACATAACCTGCAAGCAATGAAGAATTGCTTAAACAAACACTAAAGTCTAAAACAGAACCAAACAATAATTGAAGCAAATGAAAATGAACTTCACCAGTAAAGCAGGATAGGGTTCAAAATCTTCTAATTTCCATACTTTGCCTGTAAGAGGTTCAGGAAGCTAAACCAATTGTCCGACCAAAAACAAATTATCATCACTGAAAATTGGGGGATCAATTTGAAGTGTCTAGATATCGAATTGGGGTTTGATTACCTCAAAATCTGGGGCTCTGGAGCCTAACGTGACCACTTTGGATTCGGTTCGAGCGCATCGAATAACAAAACTTCTCCGTGTCCGAAGACGAAAGGGTTGAAACCTCATTTTGGAGAAGCATGGGGATGGGGTGATTTGAATTCGTGTGGCGACTGACCTAAACGCCTGGGGAAGAAATGGTGAGGCGATTGATGAAAGACTACAAGTTGTAGCAGCCATGGTCGATAAGGTTCGAACTTCGAACAGGGCAGTGGGAGGCCGTTGCTTCGTACTGGTACAAGAGAAATAATCTCTCTTAAGTCTATTTGTTTATGTTATTTTTTTTCCTTCCGGGGGATTGGTTATCATGACCAGTAAATAAGCGTCGTCATACACTGTCTGTGTTTAAAAATATTTTTAAAATGACACAACAAAGTACGGAATGAAATAAATAAAAAGTTAAAATTAAAAACATCATATTCTAACTTAAGTCTAATAGTACAAATATTCTATATATGTGTCATGGTTTCAAATTATGATCTCATCGTCAATCATATAGGTCTTCCTTTACTTAGCACATGGCTTAGCATTTTAAGAAATACTCACTTAGCGACTCCACTATTGGGATTAGATGCAAACACATACGATCATAAGTGGGACCTATTATATCAGTATATATTCCTTAGGCGACTATCCTAACCGGGCTAATTGGATGTGTATTTACTGTTCTACACATAGCCCACACATGTGAGTATGGACCCACCAGTCGGTTCACGCACCTCCTAGGCCCCTTTCTTGTCGGGCGAGCATTCTTGGTAGTTATTGATGTCGAACACCCATTAAGAATAATGACGGTTGTAGCATCATTATGGTAAACATAATGATCATTTTTCTATCTCGTAACATACGCGTCTGTGTCATCGTAATGAGGGGTGTTCCCCAATGCATGAACACACAATGATGCATGAGATCGTAACATTTTCATTCATTACCATGTAAAACAACTCTCTTCCATTTTCGTTCATATCCTATCTCATCATTATCATAACTTTTCATACAAATTTTAGGGTTGTGCATCATGTCAACACATTTTATCATATCATGCATCGTGTCATATCATACATATATCATATCATCAGCATATCATGTAACATCATGTACTATATCGCCAAATGTATACACCATAACATTTATCATGTCATCAGTACATCACATCATAATACATATCATAACATTCATGTATCATCTCATAGTCACATTATATCATGAACATATTTTCGACTTATCATTTCGTAAACATATCACAGTCCTACCATTTCAAGAACAGGTCACAGTCATATCATTCATAAACATATCCTAGTCATATTGTTTCATAAACATATCATATTCATATCGTTTCATAAATATTTCATAGTAATATCGTTTCATAATTGTATCATAGTTATAACGTTTCATAATTGTATCATAGTCCTATCATTTCATAAACATATCATAGTCATGTTGTTTCATAAAAACATATCTTAACCATATCGTTTCATAAACATTTCACACATATCAAGCATATGACACGTGCAAGACCATAGAGCACATGTCATCATATAACATCAATTTCTAACCAAATCGATAGTAAAACCACTTACTTAGTTGGTCTTAGCCAAAGTTCTATCTTGCTCCAAATTTTCTTGTTTTCATCATTCAAATTCATTCTCACTTACGTCGATACTTCACCTATTTTGAATATACACTTAATTGCCTCGTAAAAATCAAATTCCATATTGTCATTGTTTTTAAATTGTGTTTGGTACTAAAACTTAAATTAAAAATATGTCAATTAAGTGAATATTCAAAATAGGTGAAGTATAAGTGAATATTCAAGATTAAGATTGAAAGAAAAGGGGAGATTTAACGGTGTTAATATGGTTTTAATCTTGAGTGAGTTATAAACTCACTTGTGTCATTTGTTTTTTTGATTTGCATGAATGAGAATGACTTTTATAGTCGGTTCAATATGCATACTATTTTGAGACTTCAAAAAATTAGAGATTCGGGAACATAACCTTACCAGATAGGATTCACTCATTCTCATAAAACAACAATAAGATGAGTTTCTTAAGTATTTGATTTCAAGACTTAGAACAATATAACCTCGCTCTCTCACTTGCCTAAGAGGATAATAAACAAATTAGTCATGAAAGAAACACGGATACACAAGATGAAAGAGTGATTACATGGGTGAAACAAACTTTTGATCTAGTAATAATTATGAACAACTCATAAATGATCGACTTGGTTGTAATGATTATGTCTATAGACACAATTGTTTTAAAATGCATCAGAGTGCAACTTTAAATCTATAGTAACCTACTGAATGAAATTTGATTAATTAAATTTGAATAATCGGAGGTTATTAGTCCATAAAGGCTCCCTATTACCCTAGTAACATTAAAATGATCTATTTAGTTAAAATAACATTTTAAAATATTTAAATAAAATATATTTAATTTGAATGATTAAAATTAATATTAAATATATTAGATATAATAAATATAAAATAAAAATATATATTGAATTTGAAGTAGTCAAATTAATATTAAATATAAAAGAGAATTATATTTATTGTATTTGTATATTGCATATTAAAATAATAATTTATGCATATATATATATATATATATATATATATATATATAATAAAATATAAATATATATTTAAAGATTCAAATTGATTAAGATATGTTGAATTTGAGCCATCGTTGCCCACGTGCGGCTGCATCTCAGGCCCTTTCAAGCTCTGTTAAGTTCGGAGCGTATCTCTTTTAACGGTGTTCAGGTTATGAATATTAAACCGTAATGAAAAAGATAAAACAAGACAAATAAAATAAAATATTTTAAATTTAGGTAATTAAAACGAGCAATACTATAATTAAAAATAAATTGAAATCTAATTACGAACCAGACCTTTTGGAATGAATTTGTTATATAATTTTAAATAAAATAAAAATTATAATTTATTATATAATTTGTTTATCTAACTCTAAATTATATCATTTTTTATATATAATTATAGGATACAGATATATATATATATATCATATTTAATACGAGAGGTTTATCTTATACCATAGGTATATTTCTATATATTATTCTTTCTATTTATTACTACTTTTATATCGTGGTAAGTTATTTGATTATAAATAGAGAACTTTCATACATAATTTATGCGAGGTGATTTTAGCCGATATTCTAAAAAAAGTCTCAAAATACATAGGCAGGATGGACACCTCGGGATTACTTCCTCCATTACTCCTGAGCACACCCCCACCTTGACTCGTGGTCAGTAGTCACCTGACAAAAAAAAAAATGAAGAATGAAGTGAGTATAAAAATATTCAATAAGCAACGTGTTAAGTATGAGCCTAATTGTAGGCTTCCATTGCATCCTTGTCTATGGATTACCATGGAATTTTCTCTAAACTTTAGAAAGTAAACATGTATAAGTGTTAACAATGAAAATACAATAAAATTTCGCGTGATTTAAAGTTATTCAAACACCATTATTAAAACCAATATAAAACGTTTATGAAACCTGATATGTTTATGGATATGCAGACAAAAGAGGGAATGGGATCAGATACAAAACATATGCAATGACAACCCATATGGATATGTCGACTCTTCTCTGTGGCTGTAGAGCTCACAAGCACCCACTCTCGACCAACGACATCCTTCACTTGAAAAAGAAAATATAGAAAGGGGCGAGTATAAAAATACTTAGTAAGCAACTCACTTACAAGCTCCTATTGTATTTTTAACCAAGTAGGCATCCACAAACTTTTCTCTAGGTTCTAGGCAGTTATGGCCCTATCTCTTCGGCTATCTATGCCATTGGGAGGCCTGAAGTATGAACAAATCTCTAGTATGAATGTTAACCCTAGAGGTTTGTATGGTTGTCCAACCCTTTTCGTTCTTTGACTTAGATAGTTTGGTTTGGCTATGGGGTGAATATCTAGTATTTTGGGTTGAGGTGCTACCTCATTAAGCTTTGGTGGGAGAGTATGGTGTTTGCTAGTCTAAACCCTAAACCTTGCCACAAAACCATAAAGTCACCTAGATTTGGAGGGAGCAACCCCTCATGTGCTACCTAGCTACTGAGTCAACCTATGTGGTCTCATTCACCCCTCAAGAACGAGCTTATAGCTCAGTGACCCTATTTAGGAGACCCTTGGCCATTTTACAAGGTTGGAACACCTAGTCGTCTCAACACATGATAACATCCACCAAGCACCCGGAGCACATGATAAATTCCTATTTTCCAATATAACACGATTAAGTACAAGCAGCGGAAAAACAATCTATTACATCATGCAAAAAATAATTCAGTTATGCTAATAACAAGTGTAACTATTCTCATGCTTATCCGATTGTCTTAGGCTTAGGTCATACTGAATCTATTAACCTAGAGTTTTGTTTTACTACCATGCATGGGTTACTAAATGATACCTACAAGTATTACTTCTAAGGACATGTGTGGTTACTTATGTGGTTGTAGCGTGACTTCCCGAGTTCACTTTTCTGATAGTAGGAGGCTCCAAATTTTCTAAAAATTTACTGTAGGCTTTAGACCAAACAAAATTAAGCTCAATATCAAAATCGGGAAAAAAAGCTGACAATAGAGGCCAAACGGATAAAAAAAAAGGGACTCACGTACACTACTCACGACTTTCAAGAGCCAGAATAAGGTCTTATGTGTGATCTCATGTGTGCTCTAGGCTCGAGTCACGCTCCCTAAACAATGCATGATGCACTCATATAGGTTGTAGAGTCAGGTTGGATTGATCAACAGGTCAGTCGTCAATTTGGGTTGGGTACCAGAACTTCGGATCTCGAGTTTGAATCAGGTTGGGCTATCCCGCAACGTGTGTCTCTACTTTGAAGTAGGGGCAGGACAAGTTGGGAAATTGGGTGGGGACAAAGACAAAAGTATAATCTTCGTCTCTCGAGTCCAATTATTTAACATTGAGAAATCTTAAGATATCCCGTCTTGAATTTCACAAGGTCTCGACATTGCGGATTAAATGAATATCACTAGTTGTGAGAAATGATTGAATCTTACTCAAATCATCATTTTATCCCTAAATGTAGAGTTTTGATTGTGTCTTCCATTCGACTACTTCAAAGAACTAATGAACAGCAGACGAAAGTCAAGATTTAGATTTGGCTCCTTGAGCTCGTTGTCTCAAATTGTATTGTGATTTGAACTCCATTCGCTTCTAAAAGAAATTGGAGAATAATCATCCCTATAAATACCAATGGGCA